TTACATACACACTAACATGCCTACACTACCACACATGCCGGGCGACCAGTTTGGAGCTTAGAGCTTGTCCCGACTGTGGTGTTTCCCCGTTGGTGAGAGCTACATGGTTGGGAAAAACTTCGCAAGCCAAACGACACGTCGGCGCCGTGTCTCGACATCCAGAGGGGGGAGATCACCGTCACCTTCCGCAATAAAGCACACACTACACTTACGGGATTAATGACCTTGGCCCTTGTCGTGGCCGAAATCACTAATCAATCTATCGAGTGTCTCTTTTACGCATCCGGCAGTCGCCGGATGTGTGCAAATATCCCGTCGTGCGAGCGCGCTCGCTCGTAATTTTGATTGCACAATGGATTCGCGCGCAGAACAGCATAGACCATGTACGATTCAAGAAGCGGAGTTCGCAATATGGCGAGAGACAACTTGGGCAATGTATCATGGATTTCATACCCATTGCTCCCAGAATTTTTCTGTTTGAAAGCCTCGATCTGTTCTCTGATGTCTCAATCTTTCCTCCTCCATCCGTGCGCTAGCATCCTGCTTTCCTATCCCTCCTATTTCACGACCACCACGTGATCGTATTGGCTATTTAAGCCAGTTTCGAGTACATTATACGAAACGAGTGGGATTATAGGACAGCTAAATACTATTATATTTGTGAGTTAATGTGTTTAAAATGACTTCAGATTAAGGTTTTCGAAAACACAAAAATTTTCTGTGAAAAAAAATGCCTGAAATTTTGAATTTACAGTAGCACTTAAACGCTACTTTTTTTAAATGGCTTCGAATTTTTCAAAGAAAATTGCCATTTAAGACGAGCTTTTCCACGACAGATGGCAGCAGGCAAGAATATGTGGCACGTTTGAATAGCTAACCGAGACCGATAGAAAACAAATTCGGGACAGCCTGTGCCATTCTGTAGCACCACTAGTTTATTTCGTGTGCTTGCGTTATTGGTTCAGGACAAACTAAACTAGTTACAATACATATCTACATATATCGACATTACAGTTAGCGGTCATTCGACACTTTTTAAAAACGGTTTCAAATATTTCAAAGAAAATCGCCATTTAGGACGTCGTGTCAATTTTCCCAAATATTTGTACAATATTATTTCCGCACTACTAAGAAACAGAAAAATTAAGAAAATGTAAAAACAAAATGTATTTTGGGCGGCGGTAAATGACAGCTGGCAAGAGTATGTGGCAAGCCCGAGTAGCTAGCCAAGATCAAAGGAAATAGAAAGTACGTTTAGTTTAAAAGTTAGTTTTCGAATATATTTTACTTCTCAAGTTTTATCTAACGCTTGCGGCTATTTGCTGCGGAACATATGATTTGGTGAGCTACGGGTTTAGCTAATAATTGGGTTTAGCTTCTACACAAAGTTGTGGAGTTTGCTCAGAATTACAAAACTTGGATTCTAACTACAGAGCTTGTTAGGGAAGAAATTTACTGTATATAAATACAAAATCTACTTCATTTTCTATACTCGGGCACCACAAAACGAGTTTTTGTTGGAAAATCGCTAATTCTTGGCGCAACTTTACAATACTTTCTCTTTACTGCGTAAATACATAGGAAGGCAAGGAAGCAAAAATCTTATTCAAAAGAATTGAAAATTAGTAGTTTAGTGATGCAACTTATATCGTGCTTATACGTAATTTTAAAATTTTACGAATTGAATTCTACTAAATCTTCAGCCATATAATGAAACGCATTTGCAAAATATTATCGAGGTTTTAATGAAAACTGATTTACATACGCCCTTCTCTCTAATGGAGCAAACGAAATAAAGAAAAATTTCCATAAGAATCGTGCAAATAGTATTCAAGTCTTCAAATTACCCAAAATATATGAACTGTTTCGAAATTCTGGAGCTTATAATTTAATTCGAATATCCGATATATTATTAAATCAATTATGGTTTATTTGAGAAAACAATCTTAAAAGAAAAAGATCGGTGTTTTCCGAAAACAATTGTTTACGTATTGTTTTAAATTTTCGGCATTTGACTCCAAATTACACGAAAACTTCACATTTTGAAAACAGTGATCACAGCTTTTAAATATCTAATTCTGATGTGCTGATTTCCTTAAGAAAAATCTTTCTTCAATAAAGTAGTTGTACGAGAGGTTCAAAATATTTCTAATGTTATTAATTTTCGAAATTTCAGATATTTTCTTGCAAATCATGTTTCTGACAATTTTATAAGCATCATTAGCTAATGAAGGTCAGCGCGTCCCTCTCTTGGATCGAGGGGGGGGGGCCAAATTTCATACGAAAGTTTTTCTGGGAGCAAGAATACGTTTACGAGAAAGTAAAAAGCTAGCGGTGCTACAGAATAACACATACTTCTTCGCACTAGTAAGTTTCCTTTATCCGGGTTATTTTCCGGTTTTGACCCACCTGCTAGCTATCAGGCCTAACAGAATTGTGTTCTTAGTTTCTCAAAATTTCAGCCCTTGTAATAACATTCAAATATGACTTTATTCGAGTAGAATAAAATCTGGACACATGCAAGTTTTCATTCAAAGCTTTGGAGCCGTTTGAGAGAAAATGTTTGAGTGCTTCTGGAAATGCGCAACGTTGAGCTAATATTCATATAAAACTTCTGAGTTTTTGAAATAATAATTACTATTGCATAATTTTTGAAAAATGAAAAGAATACTCAAAATGGCTTTTATGACAGGTTATTCAGTGCATTTAGCAAAATTCGTGCAACAGGCTAAAAGAAAACATTTGGAAGAGAATGTACAACTTTGAGTTCAATTTCAAAGAAAACTTTTTACTTTTTATAAATTCCTAAGACATCGATTTAAGAACTTATACTCACAAATGCAATACTGTATAAACGCACTTATGGTAAGCATTCACCATAGATATATTTTTCTAACTAGTAGTGCTACAGAATGGCAAGAAAAAAATTGGAGCCGTTTGGATGAAATTCTATTTTTGTAATTTTTTAATCTTGTACGTATTGCATACAATATTGCGCGAAAACTACTAAATAATCTGTAATAAGTTTTTCTACCGAAAATTCACCGTTTTTCGCGCAATATATCTATTGCATATGGGTAGCGAGAAAGTAAAAAAATAGGTTTTCTCAAAAACGGCTCCAACATTGTTAAACACTTTTAGAACAGATACTGCTAAATGCACTGAATAGCGTGACATAAATCCCATATTAAAGTATTATTTAGATTTTTCGAAAATACACACCCACACATTTTAAGCATCTCTCGCATAGTTAATATTTACATGAAAGACATCTTTGTTATTTTTAATACAAATGCTTTAGATTATTTTCTTTGACATTACTTGAAAAACTCAAATTTTCCACGAACATCAGCTCAAAGTTGCATATTTTAATAAACCCTCAAACATTTTGTTTAAAATGGCTTCAATTTTTTTTAATAAAAACGTGCATATGTGATCAGCTTTCATTCTACTATACTATTTTCAGAGTCGTATTTCAATTTTTCAGTTAGGGAGTCGAATATTTGAAAAAAGTATGTCAAAAAGTGACGATATATACCAGTTGCGAAAACGGTAGGGCGGCACCGACAAACTAGCTCTGAAGGCCAAAGAAATTAGAAAACTAACTAGTGCGACAAAGTCTGTGTCCTCCACTAGTTTAGTTATGTGATGTAATGTGTATATTTTATTGTAAAGTCAGACACGAGGCGGCCAATACATAGGATGAATCACTCCCGCTATTCGTTGCGAAATGAACGGTTCCGCTCAGGAGAGAGAGAACCGCTCGTGCAAATTGACGAGTATTATTTTCTTTAACACGGACGATATCTCGTGATAGAAAATCACGAGATCTTTGAATTTACAATCCGCTAACTAGGACTAGTAAAATTTGTTCAAAGAATCGACACCCGGTCGGGGCAACCAATTCTTTCATATAGTAATAAAGTACTATTACGACGAATAGCCGCAGCTGTGCTAACGCAGTTCTCTCTCCCACAATAGAATAAACATTATTTCTGAAAAAGTAAAATTAAAGACAACTCTTACGGTGGTTTTCGAAGCGCAACCTTTCAATACATTTAATGAAGAGCAGTAATTGCTCCCGTTGCCACGCGTGTGCGGACCGTACCACCCTTTTGGCATTCGCCGAGCAGCGAACTGCTGCTCGCCCAATCCCGAACAGCTGATGTGACACTTTGATGAGTCCTAAAGACCGACTCGCTGTGGGTAGGGCGAGCGCCGAATGTACTCGTACGTCACTCGGCAAATAGCAACTCATCGCACTACTCGAGGTTCGACGAGCAGCCGCTCGCTACTCGCCGAGTAACGAATGTACTGAGCCGCCGCCATAGAAGTGGTCTGAGGCCAAGGGGCCGCGGAGGGGAGCGCGTGATCCATCGGGCCGAGGCGAGGGCGCGCCTTCGAGGCCCGGCCAGCCCTCCGGAGCAACGACAATCGATAGCTCCTGCCGAGGCCGGTGCACGACGGGGCGGGGCGGGCCGCTGCGGGCGCCCCGAGGGGCGGCAGCCACCGCCGCTGCCGATCAATAGGCCGCGGCGCGGGGCGAGGAGGGGCCGGGCCGGGCGGCGCGCTCGCGGATGCTGACGCCGCCTCGTCGCCGTCCGCTCCGCGCGACGGAAATAGCGGGCGGTGGCCGCGTGCCAGCTCGCGGCCATCCAGGTCGATCGCGCCCTCCGCAGTCGCCATCGACCGAGCCAGTAGCAACCTCGGCCGTTACGTAACCGCCCGCCTGCGCACGTACCTTGGCCCTGTGCAGGAGGCGACGTGGAAGGCCTTCTTCCCCTGCGCGGAGGCTCGGCGGCGGCTGCAGGCGGATGCCGTGTGCAGGCCGCGCGCGGCTCGGGGCCTCCGCAGCTGCTGCGGAGCGAGGAGGGGAGGGGGGGCGCTCCTCTCCTCCCACGGCGCCGCGCGCCACCAGCTGCGCTCTACTCGCACGCCCGCGACGCCCTACCGCCTACCCGACCACGGCCCTCTGTCACTGCGTACAGAAGGCCTTGGCTGCCCCGCTCCCTCCAGTAATCAACCAACCAAGGAATGAATATAAAATTTTTTTATTACAAAATTTATTCCCAAATGTACAATTAATCCACAGCTGCTTGTGGAAAATGACAATCAACAGCCACTTTCAAGCATTTCCGTTACCATTTCTACATTCAAGAATTGCCGGCAATTCTCAAGAGTACACTGCTCTATACAAGCCAGCATACAAAAATACAATAAAAATCCATGGCAATTAACTTCCAACTATTCAGAGCTTGCAAATCGAAGAGGACAAGGGTAAGGTGGTTCATTAAATGTCAATATACAGGAAGGGGTTATTTGTTCTTTACTGACAGGGAAATGAAAATTCTTCTCTACTACATTGCAATCTGCTTACATTGAACATTCTCTCAGTACATTCATAATACAGTTTTCATTTATTGGAGGATCACATGTCTCACTTCACATTCTTCAAGTATTAATCCATTTCTCCAAGCAGCTTCCCACATTCACTGCGACAGAGCAGCCACCTACCATCACTTCAGTAAAAGACTCCGAACACATTTGCCCAAATATTGAGCAAAGAGTTGTCATGCTTTTATTAAGTCTTACGATCTTATTCTGACATCTATTTTGTCACCTATCAGTATAGCATTACCTGCAAGTGTGAACTATGAGAAACATTTTCATACTATTACACTTGCACACAACATGAACTTGCTGACCAATAGGTGTACACTGGAAGTTACTTTCATTTGTGTATAGAGTTGACCACAATTGTGAACTGCTACAGAAACAATTTTTATGTAATTCAGAGAAATCAGTAGTAAATAACTAAAAAAAAAAGTACCAGACACTATTGCTTTGGGCAGCAGCTGAGATTGTAGTTTATAACATGTACCAGTATACAAGATGGGCAATTCGATTGTGACATTAAATAAACGATACTCAGATGGACAATTGTACGCTGGACAAATAGGCAATGGAAACCAGGATGACTAGGCTACAAGCTCATTGATGAGCGCACTGGACGCCAGGCCCAGGGTGGTCGTCTTCGTCACTAGCATAGGCTTCTTGCCGCCCTCCAGCCCCAGCTCCGTGGCCCTCAGAAGCGTCATACTCGTGAAGATCAACTTCTTCCACATGTTCTCCGCTTGGCATCTCGAAAGACGGCCTAGGAGGCAGCAGATTCTCCAGTTGCTACAAACAAATAATTTCCCATTCATATCTCACATCCCAAACACTGAATCAATACAAACATCAAAACACAGTAATTGGACAATACCTTGAGGGAAATTTCATTGGCAAAATGATTTTCTGGGAAAGTAACATCAAACTTAATATAAAGGTTTCCTCTCTCGAATGGATTTCTGTGATGAGGCATTCCTTCACCCTTGATTCCTTTGATATCAGCTTCAAAAGAAGAAATTTGCAGAAATGAGAATAGAACAGCAACTGGTAAACCTATTCAAGTAATACCTCAAACTACCAACCTGGCTTCACAATTTGGCCCATTGGGTGCTTCACAAGCAAATCACGTCCATCCAGATGTCGGACAGTCATAGTAAATCCACATAATGCTTCAGTTAGAGAAATTGTATGAGTCATAATCAGATCATCACCAGACCGCTGGAAGCGTTCATGGGCCTTCTGTTGAAGCACTATAATGACATCGCCAGGTTCAACATCAGGCTGAGGACAAAGCAAATTAATTACACACTATTCAACCACCCACAACAAACAACTTCAAAAGGTTATAATAAAGTAATAAATACCTGCTGGTCACCTTCCCCCCGAAAATAAATTTTCTGATTCTCATGCATTCCTTTGTCAACATGCACTTCCAATATTTTAGTTTCATTAACCACCTTTCTACCTCGGCAAGTTGTGCACTTATCCTTCTCGCTAATTACCATACCTACAAACAAAGACATTTTTACTCATTTAATAAGTATTATTACTTACAGAATATATAACATATTTACTTATTTCTTATCTCCTTTAAAATTTTTACACACAAATCAGCGTACTTACCTTCACCCATACAATCAGTGCACTGTGAATGCAATCTTTGGGACATTCCCGGTCCTAGTTGTCGATATGTCATTTTATAACCACATCCACCACAAGTAGCACACTGATGAGCATCACCACGTCCCCCTTTCCCAGAGCACATTCTACAAATCACATTCTTGCTCAACTGCAATTTAGCTGTTTTACCATTATAAAGATCCTCAAGGGACACCCTAAACAAAGAAAGGAATCAACTGAAAATGCCAACAGCAGTTTGCATCCAGACTCAAAATATTGAGGCAGCACTCAATATGCTCACTTACTTTAGTGGGTGAATTGTGTCTTCTCCACGCGTGGGGCGGCGAGATCTCATGCCCATTCCAAAAAGTCCTCCCCCAAAAAGATGTGAAAACAGGTCTTCATGACCAAATGACGGCCCATCATGGGCACCTTCTTGCATTCCCTTTAACCCATACTTGTCATAGGTCGATCTCTTTTTGGGATCCGACAATACTTCATAGGCAAATGAAATCTCTTTGAATTTGTCTCCAGCTTCCGGATTTTTGTCTGGATGAAATTCCTTAGCTAACTTCCGATAGGCCTGGCGTACAAAGGAAAGAACATTAAAACATCAACAATGATTGGTAAAATGCATTGTAGAATATCATAATAATTCAAAACTTCGCTAGCCGAAGCAAACACGACAACCATGAGACTTATCCGACTTTTTCTAGAAGGTACTTTTGGATATAGAAAAACACGTATCGCACACTCTGTGGCCAACGGAAATTCTCGGTCAAATATGATTAACTACACAACAGATGGACAATATTTTGCATAATGCTACAAAAATGATAAGTACATTCTTCCAACCCGATAGGACATGGCTATGTTTTACATTCTCTTTGTCCACTGGATACGCGGCAAAGATGCAAAATGAGGACCTTGTGACATCCAATATTAAATAAACATCTTCGCAGTTTCATCTCTCCCGACTGTTACTAAAAGTTTCACTCTTTGATAATAAAGCACTTATTGCGATTAACATTAAATTGATTAGTAATTGTCCTTGACGTCAATACATTTGGCACATATATTGCTTCCATCGGATAGTAATACAAAATATCACAATGATCAATAGGGGAACACCGAATACATAAAGCAATCATCGCCCGCAGAACATTTACCTTCTTAATTTCCAGGTCCGTAGCACTTCTACTAACTCCCAGCGCATCATACAACTTCGTGTCCGCCATCTTCTAAACAAGGAATGACGTGCGGTCGCTCATCCCAGCAAGTGACGAAGGAATACATTAGTCAAGTAAGATCCTCTCCACTATTTCTCTTGCAGTATCGTTTGTTAAAAAGTATTTGCAAAAACCAGTTCTTTATCAAAGAGCAAAACGGACCACATAAAACGTTTCTGTTTCACTTTATTTATATCGCTCTTCGAATTACAGCAATATTAAATTTCTTACGAAACGGAAGCCTATGACCCTGCGGAAGTATTCAATTTCATTGCCATTTACTTTAGAGTACTACGAATGGTTCTATTTTCAAGAAAGAAAAAAAAAAAAATTATGACAAAATAATTTTATTTATATCGTCTTTTGTTCGCTCTGACAGTTACAATTTTTCTACTTCTAAACTGGCAAGATTGGCAGACTCTATGCTACTGCTCTTGGTGTATCAGAATTGCAACAAAAAAATTTCACTTTATATTCAGAATTTACCTGATCAATATTCCTGCACTATCAAAATGAATTGAAGTTACTTTCACAATATTACATTTTATCAGAAATGTGACACAATGGTACTTCACAATCAAGCAAAATACTTCTTCAAATATTTCACAAGAAAATGAAAAATAAGAAATGTTAATGCAGTTGACAAGTGAATTCATTGTCTACATGCCAACAACCATGATTTAATGTTTTTTTAACCATCACAACGATAATAAGTAAAAAGATTTTTATTATTGAAACACAAGGGATGAACCAAAAACGGTAATAAAGAAAACTTTTTGGGAAAATAATACTTTCTGAGATTGCTACTCTGTGACAATGGCAATGTTACATGCCTTTGTAGACCTTTTCTCACCATTCAAATTGGCACATAAATACTATTCGTTTAATTCAATAATTAATGTATAAGCTACAATTCAAAATGTTCAAGGAAACAAGATATCAAACATATAACACAAATTCAAATGGAATTTTTATTTTGAAATCAAATTCATAAGTTACAATGTAAATTTCACAATTTTACCACCAAGGTAGCACCATTTTGAATATTCTCTGAAAATAAAGACTCATTTTTCTGTAAGAATGTTTTTTCATCAACTCCCAGAGCTGAAGTAATCATTCTTCTCAATTTCACCATATCTGTTAGAGTATACCCCATAGGATTTTCTAACAAGAATGTGAATTTTTTCTGTCCAGCAGAGACATTAATAAACCTGCACAAAAAAACAAAATTAATAAGTCCATCAGTAAAATATCAAACACATGTAATAGAATACTTACGGTACTTGAGGTAGCGAACATGACTGTCTTCCTTCAAATTTGGTATTTTCATTGTAGATGTATACAGTTTGGCCTGCTAATTTTTCAGGGCTAGCACATGGTCCCAAGTTGTAATGGCATCCAAATAATCCAAACAATATGTTGATCTTCAAGAAAAATATTCAGTATAAATATAGAGCAAATTTTCAAGTTTCAAATTTTTAAATATTAACTTCCATACCTCCTCTTTAAGTTGCTGTAAATTCAGTATATTTTGACCAGCAGGATTTTCAAGGAGGATTGTTCCTCTTGAAGAGGTAGCACCAAGTCTTGGTTGCAATTTGTTGTCCAAACATACATTCACATACCTGTAACAGAAATATTAAATTTCAGAGGCTGCTGAAAGGTTGACATCTATGCCGAAGAGCAGTGTCTCTCTAACAGCTAAGTAGTTACTACTATTAATTTTCCTTCCTGGCCAAACCTTTTTACTGACTGATAAAAATTATATGTGAATGCATTTGGTTTAACTCTATGTACAAACCAGCTTCATAAAACAAGGAAAATTTATAATTAATATTAATGTTCATATTAGAATTTACTCAAAGAAATTCTGCAACTTATTTAATATCTTTATGCTTAATTTTGCCAATTTTCTTGTTTCTTAAAAAATCCTTCCTCCTGACTAGGAGCCTACTGGCTCAAGGAACAAAGTTATATTTAAATGAATCACAATAGTTCATTCTTTTTTCTAAAAAATAAAGTTGGTAAAAATCCTATTAACAATGATTATCTTAAGCCAGTGTTTAAAATGGGATGTATCCTTATGAGTTAGAGACTATTTCTCTTCAAATAGGATTTAATTTTCATTTTTAATTTAAAAAAAATTAATGTTACATATAGTTACACAACATTTTGTGAATCGATTATTCACTCCAGGTTTGTTGAAACATTTTTTGTAAAAAAATTATAATTAACAAAATTGAAGCCAATTCATTCTTTGTAAACATTATAAGAATAATGATGTCTAATTTATAAATCAACATGGCCGAATGTGAAAAATAATTAACAGTAATTTTTATGATTTTATATTCAAAAATGGAAAAACAAGAACAAGTACGGGGCAAGGAGAAGACATGCGATATTTGAACATAATCAGAAACTGATATAAAAATATTTTAAAAAACAATATGCATACGGAATTTGTGTTTCAAGAAAAAACTCACAAGGGGGAAATGTCATCTTTTTAAAAGACTCAAAGGACTGGAAGCGGAAGGAGAAAGGCTTTTCAAACAACATTAAAAAAATTGTGAAAAGCAAAAGTTAAATAAGCATTATTTAGAGTATCATGAGTACAACATAAGAAATCAACTTAATCTTTGAAAGATCATTATCACACATGTCAAAATGTTACATTCAACATTAGTATTTACAGATTCAGATATAAGATGTGGATATTTCCTGAGTTGCATGTCCCAGATCAAAGGATATTGAATATGGAAGTTAAGTGATGTTTCAATTCTAGGCCTTGAGATAGGATTCAATTTCAAGAACGAAATTTGTTCTTTATATTTAATTCCTTATTTCATGCCGTATACATTTTTGTTGAAAATATTAGTAGTTTTCATGCAATTTTGAGTGATACATAAGCAATATTAAAAAACAATGTTTTCTCACAACAGTTTTTGGACCTTACCTACAAAACGGTTCAGAGAGAGGTGCTGTTGGTCCGCCACTAAGCCAATCAGCACAAAATCCTTTTACTAAAATTAGATTCAACATTGAACCTTTCAACTAAGAAAAAAGAAAGAAAATTAGAAAACATTTCATTTGATTATCAAAATGAAAAAAGAAATACATCCAAACAAGTTTACTTGTTGTTTTTCTTCAATAATAATATTATTCAGTTGAGTTGATGGAAATGGACGCAATGGTGTCTTCAGATTAGACTCAATGAAATTTTTGTGTGACACTGCAATTGAAGCAATATCACTAACATCTGATTCAACTACATAATAAACAGTAACAGGGTCTGATGGAACCAAATGTGCCTTTTTCCGCAATTTCTGAATGCGGTTTATGAATTCTCTGGCAAGTCCTTCTTCCTGCATACTAGCATCTGGAGATATATCCACCAACACCAACATCTATGCAAAAAGAAATATAATAATTATTACATATTGTAATATTCAAATTATAATAATACTTATTATTTTCTTATGATGACTTCATTCATGCCTGATCCCATCTTTTAAAGTTTTTAGTGCATATTTTTTAGCATAGTATACACAATTTTACAGCACATAAATCTGGGCTTTACTCATCCACCACTAATGTCTTATTAGGCCTGCTATTACTTTCCTTTAATTTTTCTCTAGGGCAAATCCCTCCAGTATGACTTGTAGATAAATCAAGGATAAAAAATTGAAATAAGTTGGAAACTCGCATTCCCTGACATTTTGTAACTTTTCAAGATCAGTGAAATTTCCAAACTTTTCTGAAGTATTGAATAAATACTTCCTTTCACACTAAAATATTGTTACTAAAAATAAATATTTGTCTACTCACATCGTTTTCTCCATGAGCTTCATAACGTTGAGCAACTTCTGCATTTGAATCGCTGGCAAAACGAAACATTATCCTTATGTCCTCAACGTTCAATGTGTGCCCTAGAAGTTCAATGTGCCCTTCAACTAAAAACTTCTGTAATTTGTCATCACTAAGTTCCCGGATAGCACTGGTCACTTCCTTGAAGGCTCCCTTCAATCTGGCACCAAGCACTTTATGGTCAGGCTCTGCTCTCAGCGAAACTCCATATTTTGCTTTGTCTGCACTCAAAGTTAGTTGTCGTACATTCAATTCTTCAAGAATATAGCGTTCCAGACATTTCACATCATTCAATACATTTTGATTCTGATGAATTACTACAACTTCTGGAAGTGGGTACTAGAGAGAAAAGGCTTTTGTTAAAACAAGAAATTAATGTGTTTAAAAACAAAAAACACTGTTTGGAACTTACTTTGATAGGCAGTGTCTTGCGATCCCTTATTATGCGGCCAAGGTCAATTACAGTCTGCATTCGTGATACTGCTTGTTCAATATTCTTGTCTATTAGAGATGTACTAAACAAAGAAAATAATAATCATGAAATAATCATGAAAGAGTTTGAACAATAAACAATAATGCAGTTAATAGAATTTCATTTATACTTACTTAGATTCAGGCATCATTAAGTAATGAATACTGTCAGAACTGGGATTATTATGAGCAACAGTCCGCCGAAGATTTTGGTACATCAATTCCGTAAGAAATGGAGTAAAAGGTGCCATTACATGTATCATTGAATAGAGAACACTAAACAAAGTATTCAAAGCATTTTCACAATCAGCGACACCACCTTCACCCTGGAACAATCATGTTTAGAAACTCAGAAAAATTGTACAACAATGTACTAAACAATGAACTTCTAGAACTTTATTCCAAAGATTTCTTCAGTTAAAATTTCTGCTTTGAATGTTGACAGAGTTTGAGTTTCAAAAGAAGTGGCACCTTGGAAATCATTAGTGGGTTATTTGGGCGATAAAAATGATGATCAACTCTTGAACATGGTCTTTCTAAGTTCAAGTTGAGCTCTCAGATATTTAGTGAATTGAGTGTCAACTTTATTTACTTCCCATTCATTTTGTTTTAAAAAGCTTCGTAATTCAGTTGTAAATGATCGTAAATAAATTTGAAATCAAATATGGTTAATTAAAGGTGTAGTCCGGTATCAAAAATTTATTTTGTAAATGGTAATTTCGATAGTATAGCAATCATCCTCAGAGCTTGCAGCTTCCAGGCCAAAAACGAAGTTCTGCTGTTTATAGAGAGTGTGTCTCGTGTCAGCAAGTAATTTCAAAAATGGTGTATCATGTACAATTTTTAGGGAAATCATATTACAAACTTTACCAAAAAAATTATATCATTGAGATTTATAAATGTTTACACATGCCATTTTCCTCTGTTCATCACTCTCTGCTTGGAGACAACACAAGCTAAAATAAAAGAGAAAATAAAAATTATCTTCAGTAATAAATTGCATTCCACCCTTTAATATATTTAATTACATGCAAAAATAAAGATAGTTATTGACTATCGTACAAATTGTAATATCCACATTTGAATGTGCACTGTAGAGTACATTCTTTTAAACTACACTTGTTCATTTTCTACAGTTTCTACAAATTCTACATTTTCTACTAATTGAAGTTTTACACAAACATGCATGCTTTATTCAAATAGTTCACAAGCTTTCAATCATGTAAAGAGGAGACTATTTTTCATCACTGCCTATGAGTATCAACCAAAGCAACATAACAGCATTTCACAGGAGTTGATTTCATTTGTTTTAATGAAGAGTGTGCAGAAAGAGGGTCCCATTGTAAAAACAATGAGAAAGTTTCAGCATATGACATTATCATAACACAACAATATGAGAATGTGTTATAGTCTGCATTAATTCAATAAGATTTGCAATTATAACACAAAATTCAATTACATTTATTGTTTCACACAACAAAAACCAGTACTTTACCAACAAACTTTGATACCTGCACCAAAGAATCAAATGGTCATAATTTGTGTATTAATGTACCAGGAACAAACCCAAAACTTATGGAATGAAGAATCAACACATTCAAAAGTTTGGTGTTTGTATATACTGACCAAATTGCAAAGGTTTACAATATAATTATTTCAGCTGATAAGCAGTAGCATGATTATATTCTGAAAGTGTGTGTGGTTTCCAGTGAAAAGATCACAGATGTGTACCAGAGGGAAAATATTGATATATTACTGTGATATACTATTTTCTTTTTGGTTTTTGTATATATTACACGTGAGATTTATTAGTAAGCATATTTAATTAAAGGTATATTTAATTTATTAGGTAGGTGTCTAGAAAAGATAACTTAAAAGGAGTGTAATCCTTCTGAATTTAGATTTATTTAGTCAAAAAACAGTCAAAACTGTATGTGATGTATGGGGGAAAAGATCATATGCACAAGTTTTCTTGAGTTCCAGAATTCCAGAAAAGTTTAAAATAAATAAATAAAAATAGATTTTAGAAAAGCGTGAGATTAGCAATATTTGAAAAAACTAGACATATTTGTTCCCAAGTTGTAGAAAAATTATTTGCACCAGTAAACAATTGCAAGTATGATTTTTCTGCTTTGCTAACAAAATAGTAACTTACCCTTACTTCTACTCCTACCATTACAAACAAAAGGAGAGTTCAACAAAACGTGCGCATAGTGAAGCTACATTTACGTCCAGAAGCAAAACAAGGAGCCATCTCAGCAGTTGCTCAATGGATCAGGGAAACTGGACAAAAACCTCATTGAGATGGGGAAGCTGAAGTACATTATTTGATACAAACATACTAAGTCTTTGAAAAAAATTTGCAAATGTAAACTAACTCAAAATATATCAGTTTTGGTAAAACAAACATTTTTGTTTTTGATAATCAGTTTAGTCTCTAATTGTATAGAAACAGCTATGCAGCAGAAAAAAATTTTACTTTTAACTTAAATTTGTTAACCAACTTCAATTGTTGAATGACATCTGGCAATGCGTTGTAAAGTAACATACATTTAGTGTATGTGGATTTCTGATAGTGAGCTGTTGATACAGAAACTTGATAAATGTGATTTTTATGACATGTGTTGTAATTATAAATATCAGTATTGCATGAAAATATATTCCCACTTTTAAGTACGCCACTTTCAACAAATATTACAGATTCGTAAATATATACGCAAGGCAGTAGTAAGATTCCAAGCTCAATGATGAGAGGCTTATAGGGATCATGCGGATGGCATTTGTTCACTATTCAAATAATTTTCTTTTGCAATCTAATGGTCTGAGTTCTACATGATGAGTTTCCTGAGAATTTTATGCCATATCTTGGCGATAATGTACAATAGCAAAATACAGGCAACGAGCTGCATGAAGGCTGACAGAATTTGAAAGAATTCTGAATATGTATCAATGAACTTAATTGAGTGTTTCATTTTATTATATGTACATTCCATTTGAGGTACGACTTAATTGAGAGACCTAGAAATTTTGTTACCTGAACATCAGTTACTTGCATATAGTTCAATGGAACATGCGATTACTGATTTGAAACGCAAAAATGCATTGAAACGGTTTTTCCTTCATTATCTTTTAATTTGTTATTACAAAACCAATTTGAAACTTTTTAAAAAATTTTTAAAAGGGATCAGTTTATTTGTACAAAAGCAAATAGACTTCCAGCAGTAATCGGATAATGAGCTTACATATTTTGAAAGAAATTAAAAGTTTGTTGAAAAAAAAAAAAAAAAAAAAATTAACAAAATTTAAGTATTAGAAATAGTTACAATTATATTTGTACTGGTAACATCTATTTAAATTGGTCTCATTTCTCTCTTCAATCTCAAATGAAATATTGATATCTTGACATTTTTGTCTTGAAAAAAGCCTTCCTGTGGTAACTTCCTTCATCAGAAAAGAAGTTTTTATTCAAAATTTGGAACTTAAAAAAAATATAAATTACTACCCTTTTATAACTACAAGTAAATAAAAATCTTTAAAAGTGAGAATAATCAGAGATGAAGCAATAGGGAAGGATAAGAAGAAAATAAGGGAGATAATAATTATTGAGAAAATATTACAATAGATATAAAATAACTCTCTGTTTTTAAAGCCTGAGATTCAGACATTATCAATTCCTTTCTTCCAGTATAAAAACAAATAAATAAATATATGTATATTAGAAGAAGAAAAAAGGATCTTTCCTAAAACAAATTTCACTGACTCATTCTTCTAATTGGCTTTGGGATATGCGAGTAAAATGAGGGGGGGGGGGGTATTATTTACACAATCGGCTTTTGAAGCAATGGGGAAACCTTGGAAATCCAAAGACAAATCTATGTACAATTTAACGCACACAGATACATAACTGGTTAATTTCTTTACCGGGGAAGCATACTGACTTCACTTGCCTGAAGAGACAAATCTTTTTGAAATATGAATTCTTTTTTATCAACTGTATAAGTGTAAATAGCAAAAAACAAGAAAATATTTTTTAGTCTTTATAGTTTAGGTTCACAGTTTTTTAAATACTATAAACCAACATCTCACTTGAAGATCTGTGGAAAAAGGGAGGAAAATTTGTGAAAAAGTATTTACACAGGTTATGGAAAATCTTCTTAGAGGTTTCCTTTTTGAATTAGACATTTCTGGAGAATTTTAAGTATCATTGGCACTTTTAGTATTTTTGTTTTCCACATTGTTGAAATAGATGTTCTGGTGTAAGCAGAAGCCCAACAAAACATTACTTACAGGATGCATCAGTATCATGTTTCCCTTTTTCAACTCATATGCCTTCCCAATTTTCTCAATTTTTTTTTTGCATTTGCTGCTATAGTTAGTTCTCCTAACTTCCTCAGGAGTTCAAGGTGTCTCCTGTAAAGGTCCTGAACCTGCCTAGGCCATTTCTTAACATTTTTTAAAGAAATAATATGAAAAGGAGTTCTCATCTTAAACTACAAATAGCTTCTGTTTTACCCCAATGAAAATGTTGATTTTCAAAGGTTGCTCAACAGTGCTCGCTGCGAGCTTACACCTTCAACTGTTTAATATACCAGGGAGGGCGAAGGTATGGCATTGGTCATGAAAAGGTGTGTGGGTAACATTCAGGATGCAGTGCTCAAACTGGGGCAAATTTTAACTAGATTTTCTCATTGTAAAGGCCTCCTGTTTTACATTGATATTGGTATAGGTGATAGTGACATGCTTCCAGTAAATTAAAAACTTCAAATCTGTCAATATGTAATGGAACACAATCAAAAAACTATGATTATACAAAGTCCTTGTGTTGAGAGTTTAGTCAAGGATAGAGAAGGCATAAATCCTGCCCTAGAAGTTTACATTGAAAAAGTTCCTCTACAGAGGTCACACAAATGATAAAAAGAGTTTTAATTTGAAATTCTTTTGAAAATTCTGTGTGGTTTTGAAAAAGTGTTATTTGACTGCAAAACGATTCAAGTGCCACAAACTGCACAATAAAATGCTGTAGAAATTGCAATAAACAGGGGAAAAAATAATGCTTGTTATCAAAATTTCCTATAAAACATATAATGGAAACAAAATCTTACCTTTAATCTACGTCTATTCATTCTCACATACCAGTTGGTAAGATTATCTATAAATTTCACTAAACGTGGTACAACAGTATACAATCGATATTCAGTCATTTCTTTATGAACAAACTGCATCAACGACTGGGTAAAAGACAAAATCCAACGATCCATTAAATTCTCTGACAATGCGTTTCCTTCTGTATATTGGAACACCTTTCCATCTTCCTGAAATGCAAAATATCACAACATAACTAGTTATTAAAATTATAATCTACTAATAGTAATTCACATTTGTAATTTCTTTTTAGTTTTGTGTGTTTACTTACACGGCCCAGCCTTTCAATATTTTGTACAAGGAAACGATATGCATTGTACCATGGCAAAAAGACATCTTTCAACACATCTCTAACACCATCTTCTTTAAAACGCAAGCTTTCAGCTCGCACCACTGGTGAATTGATTAAATAAAGCCTTAAAGCATCTGCTCCATATTTATTCACCACCTATCACAATCATTACCAACAATATTAACAAACAGTAGGTTTTTAAAAAAACGTTTGAAGATCGTGCCTACTATAAAAGAAAATATGAAAAATTTTATGAATTCAATAATAAAAATATATTCCAGAGATAAATTAAAATTAAAGAACTAAAAATTATATTATTCAAAGAAATATTATTTTTGAAAAAAGTATACCTCCATGGGATCTGGATAATTTTTCTTCCTTTTTGACATCTTTTGTCCATCTGATGCTAAAACTAGTCCTGAAGCAATCAAATTCTTGAAAGGAGGCTTGTTGAAAAGGGCTGTTGAAATCACCAGCAAGGTGTAAAACCTGAAAGAAAGAAAAAGTACACTAACTGTTCTTAGTCTACACAATGTATACTTTAATAAATAATTTAATTAGTTTAATAATAAACATTAAAAAAAGGGTGGTACAGAACAGCACAGACTTTCTTGTACTAGTTAGCATAGACTAAAGAGCAAACTATCATTTCAGTTTTGCCCTGCCCTCTTAGTTGACATCAATTCGCACCTAGAACACCCAAAATTGAAAGAATGTTTTTCATTATTACAGAGCTTAAGAGTCAGGCCAGATCCACCATGGAATTTCATTTTAGAAAAAAATCCTACAAATTGCTTACATGCGACAGTTGTTCACAGAAGGATAGGCACAAACATTATGAAAAATAAACAACAAATCAATCACCCCCCCCCACACACACACACACAACCCTGTGTGGTGTCCGGGTGTTTTTGTAGAATAGCGCCACGGGACCTCCTCCTGTCTTAAGAGGCGACTAAAAGGAGCAGCTGTCCGCTGTCCTTTCCCCAAATATTCCTACTTTCCCATCTAGTTTTCCTTCCATCCCACAAGATCCAATAGGTGGACTGAGTAGCTTATGGGATCCTGCTCCCTATCCCTACGAAAATCCCCTTCTCACCTCCCTTCCAATTCTATTTCTGCTGGCGGTAGAATATAAAACGCTAAGGGAAGGTCACCCAGAAAACAAACCAGTGATGGGTATGAGAGAGCCTCAAAACTACCCCAAGCGAGTCGAGCGTTGACGCCGAATCTCGCCACCGATTCTGGTCGGGTGAAAGCCGCGATAGTCGGTGCCGGCTCCATGGATTTTGGGGGGAGCCAAGCTCACAGGAGTGTCTGGGAAGAGAATAGGAGAGTGAAGTTTCTGGAGTTGGGGAAGAAGATCGGGGATCTTCTGCATTTTGTCCTGCCAAGGAATAATTCAAATCGCCTGTTTCTCGCCCAAGAAATACCTCCTTTCTCTCCTATGTTGTGAAAGAGCGTAGCGAAATTGCGTCGGTCAGACGGAAGAGGCGCTGGCCTGATGGCCCGAGTCTCGCCACGTAAAATAAAGCAAATTCAATCAATTCGAATATATGTCAGCACGAAGGAGATTGAGACAGAGCGAAAGATCACCTCAGAAATCACAATTATCATGCGTGAGTTACTATAGACTCTGATCAGACTTTGATGAGATGTAAAGGTGACATGGAGGGAGTCGAGCTATCAAGAATGTAAATCTTAGCCCAGAAGACTATGTGGAGGCGGCTGCTACGAACAACGCCGAGGAAAGAGAGCGCCTGAGAAGTACTGTTATCGAACATAGTTTTATTAGTGGCAGTTTGAAAACGAGAAGAAGCTATCAGATTCGCTGCAGCGAAGGAACATTCAACAGCTGAAGCGTTTACCACTAGGATACTTTAGGGCACAATTTCCCATGCACACAAAACCTTCCGAGTGTTCTTTGATTCATTTTAGGCGTGATCTAATAGGTATTACCCATTCCCTCTGGCCATCGGATTACACAAATTTTCCCATCATTAAGACTATGAACCTACACCATAAGCGCAAAATCATAGTAGTGATCTGAAACTGACATGTCGATGGCCGCAACGAGACTAGCGTCCGTCGGAAGCCGCACTCTTATTGCCGCGAACTAATCGATTATTGTTCAATGTCTATTAGGAGTGATCGGTCGATAAAATCATAAACGTGATAAGAGGCTTCTGATACCGCAAGTACAAACAACATTCGCCTGGCCTTTCTGATGTACGAATCAGAATAATAATAAGGAGCAAGAGTCAACGGGATCGACCCGATCTCTCCGAAAGATGCTGGCGAGAACGTCGCAAAGGTTGAGGAGGAATGCATCCGATACCTGCTGCTGGAGTTGCGAAATCTGCCAGCCGTCCCAGCAGCGTCTCCTAGAGATTATCTGAAGCTATATCAGATGAGAAACTGGTCGAGTTAAGAAGAAAGGAGGAACGACGCGGAGACGAACATGACCTTGAGATTTCATCGACTCTGACGAGCTGACAGATAACGGCTGAGGCTGAGTTCGTGAAGCTGTGTGATATGGAGGGGAATTGATAAGAAATCTACCTGTTTCCACCAAAGGCTACGCATTAGTTGTCAATTCATCCGTGCGGAGAGCTTACAGGAGGAACACAAACTGCTAGTGGTTCTGTCTACCCGACGGAACACTAGCCACGAGGGGAGAAGACATATGAAGGAGCGAGCCGTGTATATAGACGGCATGGGGTGGGTGAAACTGCCGCGTTAAGAGAAAGGTAAATGTGCGCTTGGTGTCGGATAAAAGTTCGTTGTTGGGCGTTCGCGAACATCTGGCGCATAATGCGTACTGCAAGGGACGGAGCATGGTCGAAATCCCATGTACACGCGATGCTGAGCAAACAGACGCTGCACTTGCGTCAGGCTGCAAAAGCGCTGAGGCGAGATGTGGGTGCTCTGCCAACCCAGATAAAAGGAACTACCCGACGGTTCGACGATGTTAACTGTCCAGCACAGGTCACGGCAACAGTAGCAAATGACGGGCAGACGGGATTAAGCAGAAAAAATGAGAGGTCTCATTCAGCAATTAAATAATTGCGAGGCGCCTAGACCTTCACCCCAGGACGGGGTGCGCGAAGATGAATATAGATGTGCGAATACTCTGCGAGTAGACCTAATAGCAGTAATATTGTCGGTCTTTGCAGTCCTGGGATTTCGGATGCGACTTAACCGCTGCAGTATGGACTAATTAGAGGGAAATAGTCCAGTCAGGATGTAATTGCAAGTCCCAAGGGGATGGATTCACCACTGGAATCAAGGGTTCCGGTGTAATAATTTCTATCAGGATACTGCTGCACCCAGTGCATCGCTTGAGGAGAGTTCGAGAATACTCGTATCGCCTTAATAGATGACCGTGAGAAGACGACAGAGGACCTTCTTATTGTTCGCTGGGACTTTCAATTGCATGGGACTCACGGAGTGGGGCAGCAGAGTAAGAAATCGGACGACGGCGGTGGCTCTCCTGGACAGCACTTGCCCAGTTGGATGTTCTGCCTTGCAACACGGGGGCTAGTACGTGACCTTTTGTTAATGAATGAATCGCAGCTCCGTCGTTAAGCCTAACTTTCGGTTGTATAAGCCTTGCAAAGCGTAGTGTTCATGGGAGGTTAGTACAATTGTTACACATAGTGACCACCCAAGCTATTGTCTATGAAGTGAAAGAGCGCAGTGCAAGTGAGCCCAACCAAGGGTAGAATAGGAAAGCTGTTTGGGACCTGGTGAACCACAGGGACGTTCGATCATGATTCTTTATTGCCAATGATGCGAGGGCAACCCTGAGAGGTACGTTGCCGGTGACTCTTGAATATATGGTAGAAACCGTCATGAACCGGGTACTCTGACGACTATGTGAGGACGTCGATGACAAAACATGCCAAAGGAGAGATTCGCCGTCCTCACCGTGTATGACGAGATTGGCGGAACTTCGCAGGCGAATGCCACCGAACACGAGATTGGGCAGAACGCCGCGCCCGAGCGCGCCCAATTATGAACTTTACTCAAGATGCAAACTTATATGCGACGCCAGACAGCGCAGCTCTTCAACGAAAGCCATTAAGATCAGTAAAAAAGTGTCGTTGCTGAGAGAGCTAAGGTGGAGAGAGGTAGGGATGCTGATCCCCTGGGGACGCCCGTTATAATCTAGGTAACGGGCCAGACTGAGGTATGTCCAGGCGACCACCCACTGCGCCCGGTCTTCCATGCGGAAAAGTTGTGAGCTACCTTGATTTCCCTCGCCAGGTAGATATGTTACACCTATAAGGGTCGTCCTGAAGATCCTAAGCGACGTTCCGCTGCAGTCAGCGTGGATGACTGCTAATCATAGAAACTCCATCAGTCCTGCAGACAAGGCGCGGTCGCAGATTGCAGAGAGCCCCCCGATTGAAATAGCGCCTGCAACACCTTGGCGTTGGCGCGAGAGACTCGTACTATAACCCCGTAAGGCTCCGCCCCTGCACCACTTCCTTTACACGCGACCCCTACTCACGACGCCCCATTGCATGACGCCACGATGCGCCGCGGGAATGTGGTCCCCGTCGCATGGAAGCAGCAAGCAGCTAGTCCGCCCTTATCTTTCCGGAAAGCTGGCGTAAGCATCCTATCTGATTCCAGGTGCAGCCTATCGCCAATATGCCCTTACTAAATAACAGCAGGCCAACTCCGGTCGAGAGCGGCTCATCCTGCAAGATATCCTCACTTAGAATTATCTTACAGGGACGGGCCCTCAGGGCATATTGCGTTGTTACACTCCAGTCACGGGCTTTAGACACAGCGGATACTCAAACGGTAAAGTGGCACGACTTAAGGTAGTCTTTCGACATGCGCCAACGCAGGCCATTGAAGGAGACGATGGAAAGGAGCCGCAAGCCGTCCTATGAGAGTATTGTTGCTAGAGTGACCCTAGACGTGAAAAACGCCTTTAACACTGCAAGGTGGAGCTCCATTCTTTCTGCGTTACAAACTGTTGGAGTTTTAATGTACATCTGGAACTTGTCCAAGAGTTACTTTAAAGAGAGAATCCTATATGAAACTGGGACTGGAGTAAAATCTTATACGATCACAGGCGGTGTCCCACAGGGCTCGGTACTTAGTCCGATGTTGTGGAACATTATGTATGACGCCGTGTTGAAGCTCGAGTTGCCGGAAGGCGCAAGCACAATTGGATTCGCTGACGATGTTGCAATTGTAGTTGTCGGCAAAAACATCGAACAAGTCACGCAGGTTGCCAACGAGGCTGTTGCGGAGATCCGGCGGTGGCTCACGTCGGTAGGGCTACAGATGGCCGCGCATAAAACAGGCTGTGCTGGTGACGGGCAGAAAAGTGAGAGTATTACTCTTAATGGAGGAGGCTGCAAAATATCCTCGCAGCTGTCACAGATATTTAGGAGTGCATATTGATGCGAGACTGCGCTTTGACGAGCACCTGCGCAAAGTCTCCGAGAAATCGTCTCGTATGGCAT